TTTAAAAATAGGCATAAAGAATTATATACTTCTTATGTCTACACATAAGTCCAAAAATCTCACCATATACAACCTTGAAGCAGGACAGTCCCACATTATTCCTTTTCCTGTCTCTTGCTTTCATTCACCAACCCCTTCTTCTTGAACAACCATCTACCTGAGAGACATCATAGCAGCAACTGTCTACATGTTCATTTTTTAATTCATTGTATTTTATATTCATCTTGAAATTCCAAGACTATATATCACACTTAAAAGTAGACCAATATCTGTATTTTAGCCATGCCTCATTCCCAAACCTTAGTTAGCTTCCTGGTATCATCAGACAGCTTTCTTTAGCAGTGAAATTTCAGGTCTCTAACTGTATACATTTGAGAAGCAAATTAAATATGAATAATAATTGGTGCATTCTGAATTACTAAAACCATTCTTTCTTAAAGACTGACTATATTAAATTAATATACTCATTATTTGAAGAAATCTGGAATATTTTAGGTGATCTAAAAATAACCAGTAAAATTAATTGGAATGAGAGCCAGTCATTAAAAAGGAAGCATATATGTTGTAGTATGATGAAGCTCGGACCAATATGTGTCTTCTGATTATGTGCCTGTAAGGTGGCAGCCAGGTAACTAAACTAAATGAAAGGAGAGGGGAAAAGATTAGATACACCCTCACCTGCTCTTTATTGATGCCAGGTATGATTCAGATACAAAACAGAAAGCTATAACACCCCTTACTCTTGCAGTTACCAAGTGAAATGATGAAACTTGCCATTGTTCATTGATAGGAAGCAGTGACTGGCCTCAAGTAACTGCCGCTCCTTTCCCAGTCTTTCTCTTCATAAGGAATAGTTTCACTTCATCCTATCCTTTACGTTAGCCTCCTGGGAGCTGTCTTCGCTTGGACCTTTTTCCCTGATCTCACACACATCCAGCGTTAGGCCGTAGGAGGTGTCTGAGTGTAATGCTGAGATGCAGTACTGGAGCTTCCTAATAGTTCTTATTTCTCTTGATTTATAACAGTTTACAAATGTGAGGAGCCATTACATTGAATTAATTGATAAATGAAACCATCTTATCATCTCAAGGTTTCTATTTTCTCATGAAAATCATTCCAAATCTTTGAGGACACCTTTATGTTTTTCTGTTCTTAGTATATCTATTAAGCCCATATTGCTCTGAGCTCCTGCCATCTCTTTTATAGAATTAGACTGTATTCTTGTACTTTGTGTAATTCTGATCCACAAAGAAGCAATAGCCTTGTACTGACATGGCGGATGTCTAAATTAACCCAAGGACTTTTTTTCTCTTTTTCTTTCTTTTTTTTTTCAACAGCACCAGGGATTGAACTTGGGACCTTGAGTTTGCCAGGCAGGCACTCATGCCATTGAGCTATCTACCCTGCGCAACCCAAGGTCTCTTGCCATAGCTTCCTTGATGGTCTCTAGATTTTGCTCTTGATACTCTATTCTTTGTAGAAAGTTAGAGTTATCTTTTAAAAATATAAATCAAATTATGGTACTTACTATTTAAAGTTCCAATGGTTTGCCATCTTGTAGAATAAGATGAAAAGTCTTTATCATGGCTTATAGTGTCCTCCCTTTCCTGCCTCTCTTCTCTTTTAGTATTACCTCCTACTTCCCCTTCTAACTTGTGCTCTGGTGCAGCCACAGGGGCTGCCTCGCTGGCCTCCAAGGAGGACAAGCACATTTTCACCCTAGGACCTTCTCAGTTGCTGATATGCTGCCTCATCACTAGATCTTCACACGGTTTGCTTTCTGTTTATGTGTGTGTCTCCATTTAAATGTTGTCCTTCCCTGACTTTAAATATCTCTGTCTCAGCCCTATTGCCTGTCCCTCATCCTTTCTTTCCTCACCTTGTTACGTTATTCTTAATTAGCTTTATCAGGTCCCCAAATTGTGTTTTATATCTTTTTTTACTTGCTTCTTTCTCGATTGGAATATAAGCTCCATATAGGCAGAGCTTCACTTCTGACTAATGAAACTTCAGTTCCTAGAACCACATCTGGTAGGGAGTAGGTGTTGTGTAATTATTTGCAGAGTTAATTATCATTTGGCTAATGAGTGAATGCTTTTAGAGAATAAGGTAAGCTACAAAGTAGCGCATAGGAGATTGTGAATGATCAAGTATCTTTATCTGGTACAGAGCTCCCTCTGTTTGCAGAAAATCAATTTCTCATTTATTCACTAGAACAGGCACCAAATTACAAATCAGTTCTTTCTTTTTAGGTGTACCAGTTCTGCATCTGATACCATCTCCTTTTCCTGAAGTCTGGCACACCATGGATGACAATGAAGAAAATTTGGACAAGTCAACCATTGACAATCTAAACAAAATCATACAAGTGTTTGTGTTGGAATATCTTCATTTGTAATATTCTGATTTAATTCCTGGTAATGGCTTCTATGTTGAATTCAAAAGTCAAAGCATCACTGAAAATAATCTGGCTCCAGATAAATGTTGCGCAGAAACTTCTATAAATTTATTCTGAGGGTGTCTTTGAATATGTGATCAGTGAATCATAGAATTTTATATTATGTTTTCAATTGCAATGTAGAGATAAAAAGGGAATGTGTAAAGAAAAGAAAAAATAAATATCTTTTAAAAACTCATTTAGATAAGACTTCAAAAGAAAATTAGATTCACTTACTCAATATAGATTTTGAAACAATACTAAATATGTTGATGCTGTGCAGTATGTACCTTTAATGTTATGATTTTTCATATTTTGGAATCTATTATACAATAAAAAATGGAGATATACTTTGAAGGCTTTTAGTCCTCTTTGAAAAATCTGTGTAGGGTTAATTTTATAGAAATTAAAATCAGAATTAAATGCCATGCTATGATTTTTTTCATATATATAAATGAAAAAGTATTTAATGCCTAATCCAACATTTATAGTTGTACAACTTCAGCATCTTATTGTAAAAATAGTAAATTAAAAAATCATTAGAAAATGGATAATAAGGGCTGACAAGATAGCTCATTGGACAGAGAGCCTGCTTAGGCAAGTGCAGGGACTAGGGTTTGCTCTCTGGTACCACATACCATGCCACCCAGTCTCCCTGGGTGCTCTGAGCTGGCCACCAAGACCGAGTGTGGTGGTGCATGCCTGTAATCCCAGCACCAGGGAGACTGAAAACAAGAGGATCACTACCAGTCCAAGCTGAGTAGTGAGATCCTGTATCAAATACATTTAAAAAAAGAAAGAAAGAAAGAAAGAAAATGGTTAACAAGAAAAGAGTAATTGCATCATATTAACAGAATCATCATTGCCTCTTTATTTTTATCTCATTTTACTTTATTTTTGCAACAAGCTGTCTAAGCTCAGCCTGTCCTTGAGCTCACTACATAGCCCGGCTGACTTTGAACTTGTAGAGATTCTCCTTCCTCAAGTCTCTGGAGTGCTAGGATTACAGTTGTGTACCTCCATGCCCAACTATTTTTCTTACATTTTATGTATTGGTGTAACCAATTTGTACCTACATGTGAACAACCCCCAACCTTATAATTACTGTGTATTTGCTGTTTTGGTCTTGGGACTGGACAAAGACGGAAAAACGCCACTGACTGTGATCCCTAGAGTCTGTGTTCAGGTAGCACAGCAGTACTAGTTATGATAGTTCTTTGTAAATTATATGGAATCCATGTTTGGTAACTTAAAGCATTTTTTTAAACTGGAAATTCATAGGCACTATGAATTGCCCTTAGTGGTAGGAAACAATTATCTCACATATTAATTTGACCAACTGAATAATTATGAAATCAATCTTGCTCAGTAGGTAATGTTAGTTGGGGACACTGTTGTATGTGTATTAGCTGTACAGAGCAGATGTTGAATTAAATTCTCATTGAACTACTTTGCTGAGGCTAGGTAGAGAGTGAGACAACAGATCAGGTGATTGGGGCAATGCTAGCTTTTTTTAAAATTAATTACTTAATTTTTTTTTGTATTATAGGGAAGGGTCTATTGGGTGTTCAGGGCCTCACTATTAGATGGGACTCATAGTGATCTGCCTGTTTACAGCCTCCCAAGAGCTGGGATTACAGGTGCACCACCACTCCCAGTCTCAGTTGTCATTGCTGTGTGCCCCAGGGGCGGGGCTGGCACGAGAGGCCCAGGGATTGAACTCCCGGCCCTGCACCTGCTTGCAGGAGCTTTTATGTGCTGAACTATTTGGCCGGCCCAATGCCAGCTTTAATTTCAGTGACAATGGAAGTCATTAACAAGTAATATACTTGCTAAAACATACTTCTGGATAAGAAAAGGTTAAATAACGTTTATATTTATGACTGTACCTAATTATATGCAAAATATATATCCAAAATTTTATATATACATGTAAAACATTATTTATAATTTCATGTTGACATATTTTACAGAATTAGATTTTTTTAGGACTTAAATTTTTTCAAAAAAACCCTTATTTACATGTTTGGTACAAAGTCTTGTTATGCAGCTTGGACTCATACTGATGCTCTTGTCTCAGCCTCCCCAGCGCTGGGATTACAGGTGTGCACTGCCATGCCCAGTTTCAGTGGCAGGCACAGTATGCCCAGTTCCAGGGCCAGCGTGGCATGTAGTACTGGGGATCAAACCCGGGTCCTTGCGCTTGCCAGGCAGGCACTTAGACCTCCAAGCTATTTCCCCAGCCCTCTAGGACTTTTTGTTTTACAAAACTTTCCTTTTATTTATTTATTTTTTTGGTCTTGGGAATTGAACTCATGACCTTGCGTTTCCCAAGCAAGCATTGTGCTGCTGAACTGCATACCCAGCCCCTACACAACTTTCTAAAGTTATATTATGTATACACAATACATAAGACTATTTTTATAATAAGATGCTAAAGATGTACAACTATAGGGATGGCTATATATATATATATATATTTTTTTTTTTTGTATTTTTAAAATTTTGTTATGGAAGGGGCTACAGGATGTTCAGGGTCTCACTGCTAGATCAGACTCTAGTGATCTGCCTGTTTACAGCCTCCCAAGAGCTGGGATTACAGTCGTGCGTCACCACGCCCAGTCCCAATTACCTTCTCACTGTGCCCTGGAGGTGGGGCCGGCAAAGGCAGACCCAGGGACCAATCCCCAGGCCCTTACACTTCTTTGCAGGTGCTTTAAACCGCTGAGCTATTGCGGATTAAAGCGCCTGCTTAGGCAGATGGGCCAGGTTCCATCCCTGGCATGCCAGCCAGCCAGCTTCACTCCCAGGGTGCGCTGAGACAACGATTGAGACTGAGTGTGGTGGTGCGTGCCTGTCACTACTAGTAAGACCCTGTAGACCCTTACTAAAATACAAAAAATAAAGTTGTACAACTAGAAAAAAATATATATATATATTACAAAATATACACCAATATATGTGCCTTTGTAAGTCAATAACTTTAAACACTAACACTTATTGAGCACTAATTCTGTGCCAGATGGTGCTAGAGAGCTTTTTATATTTTTACCAACTTCATCCTCATGTCAAACCTACAAGGTGGGTGGTATTATTAAGCTCATTCTATAATGCTCAGAGCGATTAAATGTGTTCTTCAAGATTATGTAACTAGAAAATGGAACCAGGGGGATTTGTACTTTAACTGTCATGATTTGGGCCACTCTAAATTATTGCCTCTGTAAAAGACATGCAGAACATTCTTAATGTCAAATGCAAAGCAATAGTTGTATCCTGAAAAGTTTTTTTAGGTCATCCTCTAAGTCTGGGGAAGCAGTCTTGAGTCCTTGTTGCTGTGATTTACTTGACAGTATTAGGCATCATCTCTGTGCAGAATTATTTCTCTGCTATACTAAGGACTATTTTTACATTAACATGGATATAACAGAAACCCATATGAGTGGTTCTGGGGCTAAAGAATCTAAGCAACAAAGCAGGATTAAAGGGAGCTGAGTTTTCATGATTAACTTTTTGAATGAGAAAAAATAAAAGGAGTTTGAGAAAAACACAGTTTCTTTTTAGCATCAGGAAAGAAATGGTTTAGTTGACAATACTGTGTGATAAATGATTTAACTGATGATAAACAGCATGAAAATAAGTTTTAAAGGACCCTAAACATTAGTTGATGGTGCTGCATTTATAATTTGAAGCCAAAATGATAAGCTCCTTTTAAGGCAGAATTAATAGGAGATCTGCTATAATCTGTTGAGTTGGCATTTGTTGAATTTTTTTTTTAGAGGAGGCTGGAGGATGTGTTTAAATGGGATAAAGGGAAAAGTAAAATTATAAGCAGCTTAATCCAGCAAACATTTCCTTGCTTTGAAATGCCACATCCTAAAATTCCCTTCGCTAGAGGTTTGCATTAATATAAGAAAAGCAATCATGATGTCATAAAGGGAGGCATTTCAAGGTATTAACTTTGATATTAATCTCTGAAATACATTTTGTATAATTCATGCCAGTCAGAAATATTACTTTTTGAAAATTATAGCTGCAAAGGCAGTGCTCCATAAACATTATGCTTCATTTTGGAGCATTTTACAGCTCCTAAGAGAACAATTTGTATGTTTCGCCTATTACTGTCAACCCTGCAATATACAGGGCTATTTTTCTTCTTCAAGAGAAGTGAGTTCAAAGGAAAATATTCGTAAGAAAGTATTCATAATCTTGGCATCTCCAAAAAAATCACGAGCCTGTGATTGTAGCTTGAGGGCTGTGGCTGGAAGAGAAAAGACAGAGTCTTCAGAAATGGAGAAATGGTTTAGATAGTGAAGCAGCTGTGACAAGAACAAAGCAGCCCATGTTTCCATCTCTGACTCCAAACCCTCAAACAGTTTATTTCACGAAGCTTATTTCTTCCATCAAAGAAATACATTCATTGTGGCGCTGCAGCAAAATCATGTGAAAAGTGAAGATTTGCTCCGCCAACTTGGCCCAGCTGGAGGTGATTATTTTGCATACAGAAGGGATGGACAAGACGTAGACTTCGTTTCTTTAGTACACAGATAGCCCTGCATGAGGCTTGGCTGCGGTCTGTTCTGCTGAACTGCACTTCTCAGTTCCTTTGCAAGACTAATCTGAGGAATGAAGGTGCGGAGATAAAGGAAGTACAAAGAAGATGAGGGAGACCACGCAGAGCAACCCCAGTAATTTAAGCAAAGTGAATGCAGGAAGTTAGATGCAGACTTAAATCTGCTATTCATGAAGATATGGGCTGTGCTTCAAAGCCAGCCACCTTCCCATCAGCTTTTGGCTTCAAAGATGAATGTAGGAAAGATTGAGGTTTCACTCCCAGTTTCAGGACCACTTTCTATGCAGCCTGAAACTCTGAAAGTAGTTATGAAGTGGTCTGACTTCCTCCCTGCCTTGCCCCTTCGGTCTCTGATGTCTAAGGTACACAGTTTTCAGCCTTCAAAGACTGCTTTGTTGCAGGGGCAGAAGTCATTGCTGCGTTTCATGGAAGGGCTGAGGTGGAGAGCAGTGGTGGTTAGCGAGGGCAGCTGGGAGGGTGCTATTGAATCCCCCTCAAATCATCCTTCACGTCAGAATTGCCCCCGGACTCCTGGCAAGACATCCAGCGAGACATCCTGGCAGGACATAATTTATGACATTTTGAAGAGAGCTGGGATGAAAGGGCTGCCTGTGTCGCGGCCGTATCCCTCCGCCTGCATGTGGTTGGTGTGCTCACGCAATGTGTAGTCATCTTCTGCTCATATTTCAAAGGCGACGCATGGAACCTAGCCCACTCCCCTGACAGGCAGAGCCAGACTTGCCAGGGGAGGGTTTAGATCTTTTCTTTGAGAATTGATATTAACAGTGCACAGTTGCCAAGAAGACAGAGTAGCGTGGTTTAAAGCAAAAGGAAAATGCCCAAACTCACAAAGATGAGAAAAATAACGTAAAAATAGATTAAAAACTGATAAGAATATTGAAAACT